AATGACAGCTGGGACTGGGGACGGTTACGAAGCTCTGCTATGGGAAAACTGGACTTTGAGATGAAGTGAAACCCTAGGAATTTTGTAGCAGAGAGATCTAAGCCTGCATCCCTCATTGGGCTCTGGGGATTGTTGCATAGGTAAGGTTCTGTTTTCATTTTTCAAGGGGGAAACAAAAGCGGATAGTCAAACCAAATTTTAATAGCAGTGTTTTGGCTGTGATGGAGCTGGCCAGGCCAAGGGGAACCAAGGGAGAGGCTGACTTGGGGATCAGGTATGGGGGTGCAAGCTCAAATCCCTGCTCTGAACTGGGTGTACTGGGGTTCCTGGTGCCCCTGATGAGTGCCGTTACCCAAGGACTCTTCTCAACACCTGTGGCTCTTGGATCTGGCTTTGGAGGTGGAGCAAGGAGGAAAAAAAAATTGTTTTCCTTGTAATTCAGACACGTACCTGAAGCAAAGAAAGACTAGCTCACTTGTTCACGAGTCAGTGATTCAGACGGTAATGTCGAGACCAGCTAGCCTGCCTTCTGTTGTATTTTTGGAACTGCAGTTAAAGCTGTTGAGTTTCTGCAGACATCTTGTTGTGGGGTGTCCCTGTGACCCTGCTCTCCCAGAGCAGGGGGTGGCTTGTGCTGTGCTCACAGCTGGAGCCAGGAGTGTTTTTCTTGTTGTGGAATAGTTTATGATATTCCTCTTGAGTTTACCTACAGCTAAGTTATTAGTTGCCGTTTTAATTTCCTTTCTGATAAAAGAAGAGCAAACATCTCATTTTCCTTAGACTGGCTTTAGATAGAGAGTGGGCAGCTTCATTTGTTGAGATTGTTCTGGCTACAATGTGAGAATTAGCATTAAAATGCCGGAATGCAGCGTGTTTCGGGGCTGTTCAAGCCTTCCGAGCGCAGCGAGCCAAGCGCGGGGTTAGCTGGCGTCCCCCAGCCCCGCGGTGGCACAAACCCCCCTCGCTGTCGGGGGGGGGGGGGGGGGGCTCCGGGACCCCCGTGGCAGATGGCAGCGGGTGCTGCTGCGGGGGGGGGAGAGGCCTTTGGGGTCTGCAGGCAACAGCACAGGGGACCTGCCAAGGGTTTTGGGGTTCTCTGGGTTGGAGCTGTCCTAGAGATGCCAGCCGCGTCCATTTACGGGCAAATGTAAGATCGGTTTGTTTGAGAATTTCTCGGTATAACGCTTGTGTTCTGTTACGAGAGCGTATCTGTCTGTCTGGCCCCTACCTGCTGGGGCTTTGTATTTGTTGTAGAGCTGCTCCCCTGCCCTAGCCCTTCACGGCAGGCGAGTGCCCTTGTTGCAATGCGCTTTCCACTTCTATTTCTTTAGATATCTTTGTTTCATTTTATTTAGTGTGATAACCTTGGTCAATACAATGCTGCTTTTTTTTTTTTTTTTTTTTTTATTCTTTTAATGAATAATTTTCCGCTACACTGTGTCTCTTGGAGGATTTTTTTGTTTGGTTTGGGTTTTTTTTTTGTTTGTTTGCTTGGTTGTTTTTGTTTTTTTTTTTTTTTTTTTTTTGTGTGTCTGTGCCTTGAGAACACAGGTGGTTTGTGCAGTGTTGGCACCAAGGTGCCGGGTCGGAGCCGGGGTCCCGCTGTGCCGGTTGCTCCGCAGGCGCGGAATAACCAGATGGCCCCTGCCCCGCAGAAAGCAGTCCTGCGGTGGGTGTGACTGCGGGCCTTGCGTCACAGCAGTGACACCACAGCTTGTGCAAAAGGCGCCTGACAAATATTTGAACAGACTGCTTAAATCTGAATATATTCCTAATTTAATCAGAAGCTGGTAACTATGTGCATTGATTCGCAAGAGTATTTTGGGAGATTTAGAATGCAGACAACATCAGCGTTGACGTGAGGGCAAACTTTATACCTGTGTTCATCATTTTTTTGTGAATTAGTTGGGAATGTGAGGGAAGTGCCCGTGACCCGCTGAGAGGGGCAGCTCAGCCCGGCCAGGCTGTGAGCTCAAACTGCCCGGAGAGCCCAATTTTGGGGAATCCCCGCAGGCCCCGAGGTGTGCATCGCCAGACCTCTCTGCCAGGGCTGCGACGAGCGACTGATGGGTGATGGATCTCGGGCCGATTGGGGTTTTAGGAGGAGGGATTGGCATGTCTTCATTGGACACTTGTAACGGCAGGTGGAGGAAGAGGAGGAACTCTGTTTTGGTGTGTGCCTGGGTGGGCAAGAGGTGTGTGCTGCTTCCCATCTCTAATCCACCGCTGCAGCCAATGTCTCGCTGTAAAGCAGCAAATGGAAGAGAACGACTCCTTTCCTGTCACTGGGACTTGCTCCGTCCCCGTTTCGGTTTCACGGTATTCCTTCTGTTGTTGGAGTTTAAAATAAAACACCGCTGGAGCCGCGAAGCCTGAGTGGGGACTGCAGGTGCCCCCTTCCGTGGTGCTCAGCGTGTGCACGTGGTGATGAAACGAAAGGCTTGCTAACCTCACCTGGCCTGGCCTTGCTGGAAGGTGCCCTGATAAGGGGCAGCTGCCACAAGGAAGCACCGAGGAAGAGGGAGCGTTTTTTTTTTTTGGGGAGGGGGTGTGGGGTGGTCCCTGGAAGCGGAGCCCTCCACACCCAGGGTGTTCCTGCAGCTGGAGTCGCTGCCCCAAGCGCGGAGTCGCGATGCGGGAGCTGCAGGAGCCGTGCCGTGCTGTGCCCAGGTGGGGTTCCCAGTGCTCTGAGCCACCCCTGCTCCCGAGGTCCGCGCCGCCGGCACGTTCCCAGCTGCGGGTGCCTGACTCGCTGTCAGCTCAGCTGAGCTGCCGGGGTGCAGGTGAATTCGCTGGGCGAGCCCCGCTCCCCTCGGGTTCAGGAGCAGGCCGTGTTAGTCACCCCGCATGGCAGAGCGGAGCGGCGCTGGGAGCTGACCTGATTGCTTTGACATGCAGAGATACGCTTTTGGCTTTAGATAGGACTTTTTTCTTAATCCATATTCATAAAAGGATTTCCTTTATTGAGCTGTCAGCTGTGCATATCTGACCTTGATTATATCTTGCAGAGGAGTTTAATTCCCTAAATGATGCCGTTAAAGACCTCTCATACATGCAGGGTTTGCTTGGCCAAGTCTTGACCTGCTGTTTTTACCTCCTCCCTGTGCTTTCAGAGAGAACATCTTGATAAGCAGAGCCTCTCTTACGCCCACATCTCTGCACTGTGAACCCTTTCCCCTGCGTTTTCTGAAACCCAAGAGTGAAAAGCAAGATGTTATAGAGGCACTAGGAGATGAGATCCGGGCACGCTGACAGCTCTGTGTTTGAAACGAAAAACAGTTAGGAACTGAATGTTTAAGGACCAAGCATGCAGCTGGACTTTTGGTGATTTCAGGAGGAGTAGGGAGGGCGAGGGCTGGGGACAGAAGTCACCGCTGAGCAGGGCAGGCTGGCTGTAAGAGGCACGGCAGCTCAGGAGCAGGGCGGCTGGGGTCTGCCTGGAGGGGCTGCGATGTTCACACCCGGGCTGCGGGGCGCTGGGGGGGGACAGACAGAGGGATGGCAGATCCGTTGGTCTGCTGGTCTGAACTGGCAGGATTTCACCAGAGAGGCTGTGGTGGAGGATGGTGGCTGGCAGAGCCAGGGTGGTTCACAGGGCAGTCAGTCTGGGGCTGCCTCCTCCATTAATAACACCTACTTCTCCATCACTTTCTGAGCAAAGCTCAAACCTGGCCGAGCACTAAACTCCACATCTTTCATGTGCAGCTCCTGCGTCCTACAGAGGTTTGGGGGCCAATGGAGATGATGTTGCAGGAGGGCTGAGGAGGCTCTCAGAGCTGCTCTGCGTTCCCTGCTCTGCTCTGCCCTGACCTCAGGACCATATTCCCACACATCATCCAGCTTTAAGGGTATTTCATGTGGAATCCCACCCTGAAAGTCAGAGCAGTCCCAGAAATACTCCCCTAACCCATGGGAGAAGTCATCTCCGTTGGGAGTGCGAGGTTCCTTGAGGTGCTGAGAACCATTACTGTTTAGCAGCAGCACGTGTTCAGATGCTCCCATCAGCATCCTTGTAGAGAATAACTGAATTCAAGTTCAGCACAGCAGCACGGTGCCCGCCAGGAGTGGTGGGAGACACGGAGGGAGGACAACATGCTTCCACAGGAGACCTTCAGCAAGGAGGGGGACGGTCTGCTGGCAACCCGTGTTGGAAGCTGAGCACTGGAAATAAAGACATCAAGGCACTTAAAAAAATCCTCTCTGATAGCGACTCAAGTTTGTAACCTGCAGTTGCTATGTAGGGTTGGAACGAAGCTTGGTCTAGTCCAGTTTTTTAGCTCCAAACTACCCACGCTGTCCTCTGCAGCCTGCTTACCTGGCAGGTCTGACCTCCCACCTTGCACCTGCAAAAATTATGCTCCTAATTCATGTGGGTTCCTATTTATTTTCTTCCCCTCATTGTGCCCCTGATGTGCAACCTAGGTGACAGCTTCCTTTTGATTAATTGCACTGAAATGAGTGCCAGTAATGTGTCATGAGCAGTGGAGGCTCGGTCATTTGGGAGGGCAGAGCTGATTGCATTGCTATGCAAATAGCATTCTTGGTCACATTTGGTGCCAGGTGATCATTGAATTCAGCATTGACATTTGGGACAGCTGTTTCACATGGAATTTGTCAAATCCTCATAAAATGAGAGAACATAACAATACTGTAAAAGCACTGAATATGAGACTTGGTTACCCTTATTAAGATGTCTTTTATCTAAATGATGCTTGGTTCCTGCAGTTAATTCTCTGCTCATAGTTTTCTCGCTTCCAAGTTTCTCAAAAACAGAACGACCCTTTTTTTTTTTATACCTGACTTTTTGAAATAGCCGGTGATGCTCAGCAGGCAAAGATGCATCGATTCTCCATGAGACCTCGTGTGCCGTTAGAGCAATGAGGAAAGTCAGAGAGCAGAGGAGGTTCCCCTACAGACACGAAGCAAGCATCCTGCACCCACTCCACCGCAGGTCTCCCCGCTCTGGTCCATGGCTGAAATTCAGTGTTTTCTCTAACCAGGCCTCTGTTCGACAGGTGAAGCAGATCATGGAGGAGGCGGTGACGAGGAAGTTCGTGCATGAGGACAGCAGCCACATCATCTCCTTCTGTGGTGAGTCTCTGGTGGCGGGATGTGGACATGAACTGGGGGCTGGAGCACATCTGGGGCTTTCCCTGCCCGGCGCTGGGGCTGCGGTACGTGCGCTCCCCGGGGCCACGCTCCGGCTCTGGGGGGTTGCACTGGGGCTGGGGGTGGTTAAGGCCAGAGGATGAGTTGTTCTGGCAGCAGTCTGAGTCCCTGAAGCCTCTACTTTGTGCTTAAAATAGGCTCAGATGTGTCAAAAGAGGGAGGGATATTGGCAGTGTATACAGTCATTTAAGAAATACTAAAAATAATATTTTATTTTTAATTCCCTTAAGAATTGATTCAACAGAAAGTCTGTCAAGTCCAAATATTTCTTTGCTATTACAGAATAGGAATTTAGGGAAAGGAGTCTTTGGTCTGCCTGAGGCTGGAGGCTGTGAAGGAATTTTAAATGGAGTTTGTGGAAGATCTGCTCTGCCATTGTGCTGGTTTCAGGCTTGTTTTCTGGCAGCTGTGCTTTTCATTTAACCTGCTTTTTTCACTTATTTTATTTTTTATTTTTTTTTTTCCCCTTCCTACCGGTGTGACAGTTTTGTAAATGGGGAAGTGTGTCAGAATGGATCCATCAAAAACTTGGCAAAGTTGTTTTGCAAAAACCTCCCTGGAGAGCAGTTGGCTTTTGTCTGCGCTGGGTGCGGGGGGTGGTGGTGGTGGGGGCACTCCAGGCCAGGACTGTGGCGCAGCAGAGGAGGAGCAGTCACACCTCAGAGGTACCGTGGAGCAGGAGAGAGCAGCCTTGTTCCCAGTGGCACGTGGCACGAGTTTGAGGCCAGGTCTCAGCAGCCTGCCCCGTGCAGAGCTCCGCAGGTCTGTGCAGCCCGAGGGGAGGGTTCGGGGGCAGCCCACCAGCTCCCCTGGAGCCGCAGGGTTTGCAGCAGCCCGAGCTGCCACGGGGCAACGTGCGGCGGGGCTGGCGAGCCGGCGATGCCCCGGCTGCTCTCGGCAGCCGCTCTGCGCTGGAGAAGGTGTCGGGGGGCTGGACCAGCACACGGCGGGCTCATGGCCCGGCACGTTGGCTCCCCATCTCCCCTCTGACAGATGAAAACCAAATTTCCCCCTTTAATAAGATCACTGCTGATCTCATCAGGGGAGACTTTGCAATCAGAGTGGCGAAATTAGATTGTTTCTGTTCTTTCGGCCCTTCTGTGCAGCTTGGCTCACTCTTTCAAAGTGGAGAGTAAGCGTCTGCCTTGGACACAGTTAATGCCCAGGTAAAGCAGCTTCTTCAGCTGCTCCGTCCACCAAGCGCTGCCAGGATCAGTGTCCACAAAAGTGGGGAGACCTTGGCTGGTGGACTGGGGGTTGTTTGATGGATTTCAAACCTAGGCAGAAACCAATTATTCTGTTGATAGCAGGGCAAGCGCTTCAGGCTGTCAGATGAGGGAGGTGGTTGTAGCCCTGGGCGTTGAACGGGCCCTTTGTGCTGGGTGCTGTATGGATAAGAAAATTTCTCATCCCCTGGGGGATGCAGGTGGGATGGAGCTGGAGGCAGATGGAGGGCTTGAGGGAGACAAAGGGACAGCATTAATCAGGCACGTGAGCTGTGATTTCTGTGCCCTAGCAGTGTCAAGTGTTTACCCACTCACCCAGAGCTGGAGAGCGTGCTTTGACAAGGTGCCTGCTGCCCTCCGTCTGCCTCTGTCTCCTCACTAGCAGCTGTCTGAGAGATGGATACTGGATTGGGGAGACACCAGTGACCGCTAAGGAAGAAGAGCAAGGCCCTTGCTGTCCTCTGGCCTGGTAGTAGGTTTGTACAACAGTGGTTTTCCCGGGTGCCTTTGTGTTTGAATCTCTTTATAGCGGCAGTCAGCTTTGCGACGGGCCGTTCTGCCAGGCTCCTGCCAGACACGGTGGCTCCCCCTCCCCGTCTGTCTCTCGGGGTGGCATGGATGCAAAAGCTGTCACTGCCTGGTCACCGGCAGCGCCGGGCAAACGGTGGAGGTGGTTTGCTGAGGGCTAGTGATTCTGCTAAGTGTCTTGCTCAGTTGTGTTTCCCCCGCTTGCACGTTTGAGGTGAAGCTCCACCCGTCAAATGGGCGGAATTGCCCTCTTTGGAACGCTCCCTGAATTTTCCAGGACAGAGTTCCTACAGTGGGCTCCTGATGGCAGGGGTTAGAGTTCCCTCTGCCCGCTGACTCCCAGGGCGGGATGTCTCGTCCTGGACTGCAGCATCTGTCCCTGCGTGGAAAGGGCTTTTGGGGAGTGTGGTGTGCGTGCCTGCGCCCCGGCATGTTGGGTGGCAGGGTGGGTGCTGCCCTCTCTCAGTGCCTCCCCCTGCCATTTACCAGCCTGCCGTGCTTGCCGGCCGCCCACCCCGTTTCACACATTTCTACCGAGAAGACAGACGGAGGAGGCGGCGGCGAAGCTGTGCCCCGGCTCTGCTCGCTGCCACGGCAGCATCTGCGGCGATACGCAGGGCGGTGGCTGAGCAGGCCCAGCTCTGCCATGTAGTGGAGGTGATGTTGTCTGGGCTCCCTTGGCCTGAGCCTTCCTAAAATAAGCCATGGCCATCCTAAAAGCCACGGCCTTCCTGCTCGGCACGGTCCTGGGGGTCTCCGGGAAATCCCTCAGGGGGCACCGCTGGGGCAGAACCTGGCAGCGTGCCTGGGGGTGCTCCTGGAGCAGATCTCCAGCACCTCCTTGTCCCTTGCTGCTGTGCAATGGTGAACCCCCGAGGCCAGGGGCCTTCCTAAGACCGGCAGTGATCTCTGCAAAGAGCTGAGATGGTGGAAGCAACATGTATTCCTTTCTGCAGGGCACAGAGCTGCTGACAAACCCTCTCCGCAGAGCAGCGGTGTTAAGGGAGGGAGGCTGGCTGTCCCCTGCAGACTGTACGGCTGAAAGGGCCTTGGGAGAGACCACTACCAGCTGCTGGAAAAGCCACCTGCTGGTTTTATGGTTTTTATCTGTGCCTTGCTGTTTGCTGCCACCTCTCCCCAGGTGACAGCCAGCCAGCCCTGCGGTCCCCGCTCAAAGCCCAGCGCAGCTGCAAGGGGGGGAAGCGTCGCTCCTGCAAATCGAGGAGCCTGGGCAAGCGCAGCCGGGCTCCGCTGCTGCGGGGTGTCTGCTCAGCACTGCCAGGGGGATTTGAGACAGGGATGTGGACCTCGCAGGGTCCTTGCCCGAGCAAGCTTCTTTAAAGAGCAAAGCAAGAACCTCCCCTGTCGTCCTGGGACTGAAACTGCCGGGGAACCTCTCTGCTGCTCTGCTCCGACAACAGGAGCCCTGGCTTCCAGGTAAGGGGGGTGTCAGCCGGTGCTGGTGTGGAGCCTGAGCTGCTTGCTGTGCCTGTCGCTCTCAGCAGAGATGTTTGCTGAGTTAGAGTCAGCAGCGCTTTCCAGTACGCCCAGGCTGGGGCCACGTGGCTGCTGCTGAGCAAGTGCTGGAGGCAGCGTGCGGAGGGGGAGCGGCACGCCTCGATTTACAGATAGCTGAAGGGCAGCTTGCTAATTCGGAGCCTAGGAAGGAGATGACAGAAGCGATGACAACTGGCTTTTGAAGAAGTTGCTCCGAGAAGGCTCGTGCAGCACCGTCGCCGCTGAGTAAGGCTGTAGCATCCACAGACATAAGCACAATAAAGAGAGAAAGGGAGCTGTGAGGTCTGCTTTGGAGAGCAAAGAGGCTGTGGTCTTCCTTTTCTCCTGGGCCTTCACATAAAAGACATGCAGATGCGTGTTTCAGGCCTGTGTGCCTTTGTACGCTGTCGACTGAATGGCATCGAAAGAGCAGAACAGACTTCAAGGTGTGACTCATTCTCTGCTTTTCTGTGCAGCACGAGGCTTTGCAGCCTGGAATTATTTATAGGCTCCTGCAACACGGAGCTGAGGCATCCAGGCACGGAGGGCTCGTTGGTTCCTTCTGGCTTCTTAATGCTGCTGCTGCACTTTCACTGGCTTCTGGTGTCTACACCTTCTGGTCTGTCTGCTGTTGCTCGCTCATTTGCATGGTATGTGCACCTTCCTCCGTGCTGTGGCTCTCCGTGAGCCAGGTGAGCTTATAAATAACCTCTTTCCCTGACAAGCAGAGCGTGTTGCAAGCCTGGATCTGGCTAGGCAGAGCTGCCCTTTTCTCTGGAGAGAGCTGCCTTCCTCATCGAGCCCTCCTCATCCCCTGCGTAGCCAGTGTACCGCAAACCCCTTCTGATGAAACCAGTGGTCTGGCAGGAAAGGGCAGCTGCCCCCGGCTGCCCTGGTTTGCCTGCAAGGGAAGGGTTTGAAGCAGACAAACGCGAGTTGGCATCTGTCACGTTCACGCTGCCCTGGGAGGCTGATGGAGAGCCGGCGGCAGGGCTCGGGGGGCCCGCGTGAGCCGAGGGGTTTGCTGAGACTGCCTTCGTGCTCAACCCCTGAGTGCTTTGAATTGCACCAGGCCCCAGAGCACTCTTGAGATCTCAAATATCTTTAGTCCTTTGCCAAGAAATAAAACTCCCACCTTGCCTGGGCGCGGCTGCACAGCAGCCCTGCGCTGCGTGTCTCTGCTGCAGGGATGGGGAGAGTCTTTCTCTTCACAGAGTCCGTTTGCAGTGGTGGCAGTCAGTTGGAAACTGGGCTCCAAAAATCATAAGGTTAAAAAAGAAGTTACCACTCTCCCTGGATTTAACATGGACCCGGTACGCTTAGTTTATGTGTTCAAGCTTCTGAACCCTTGGGAGAGCACAGGGAGAGTTCTTCCTATGGAGACTGCACATTTGCTTGTAGTTTTGCTGGCAGGAGTAGTGTTTTGGAGAGGTTCAGGCTATGGCGTTGAGGACAGATGCTGATGACTGAAGGCTTGGTTGCATGACTTTTCTCTCTGGCACATGAGGGTGGGTGCAAGGCGCAGAGGGGTTTTTTGGACTTATATGCTTGCTGGCCTTTCGTTATCTCGTGGAGCTGACAGAAAAGTGGGCCCTGATAAGTTGCTGCTTGGCAGCATAACTAATTTGGCAGCTGATGGCTTAGCAGAGCTGCGAATGCCACAGATCCAGCACTGCTCTTGCACCGTGTCCGGCAGCTCCGGCGCTCAGCTGCACCAGGGGAGGGTCGGAGCCCGGTCAGTCTGGCGCTCGCTGCGGAGGCTGAGGCCACCTCTAAAGAGCTGGAGATGGCTGCTCAAGAGCAGGGAAGTCCCCAAAAATACAAATTTGGAGGAGGGAGTGATGATGCCCTGCCCAGTGCTGGCTGCAGACGCTGGGCGTTCTGGCCTGGGCAGGGTGGTCCCAGAGACCTCACCCCTGGTTCAGTCTCGGTGGAGAGGGGGAACTTCTCCCCAGGTTTTGAAGGTGCTGCTGTGATTTCTTCTTCAGCTGTATGTCAGCATAACCTTGCATTCCAAAAGCAAAGCTGTGGCTTTTCTGCTTGCAGTTCCACTCCAGCTAGCTCCTGACCTCACTGGACTGCGGTTGACTTTGGGCTTCAGGAGGGGTTGTGCAGGGCTTTTTTTAAAAACTAGGTATCCATCCAGCGGCTCGGAAATGGCTAGTATTGGGTGAGCAGGACTTGGCTGGCCCAAGTGTGTTGCTTTTCTGCTGTTAGCCCAGGACATGTCTTGCAGCACCTCAGATGCTGCACGCTCGGCGGTGAACTCGGGCATGGCACTAAGCAGGGCAGAGATAATGAGAGCATCTCTCAGCCCTGGGAGCTGATGCTGATGGGTCTGCATGAAATGTCTTTTTAAATGTCTCCATAGAGCTGTTCAGCTGTAGGAAAAAATGCCTTTCCAAGCGAGAGGCGAATCGGCGTCTGCTGGGCCGCTGCAGGGAAGGCTCAGCGCAGCTGGCTGGGCAGCGCCGGGTTCCTGGGGAAGGCGGGGCGCCGGTGTGCCAGAAAGCTTCTTGTCAGACCCAGATCAATAGCCTGCAGAACTGTGGGTCCGTGTAATTTTCCAGTGCTTTGATCAGCCTGTTTAATAAGTCTGTGTTTGACACGAGACATCCATCCTGAGCCCTCCCAGGGGACTCCGGCAAACACATCGCCGACGGAGCCTGTACGTGAGCGCATCTTTCTGTGGAGTCATCGCCGGAGCCGCCTGCCAGGGCTCCCTGCTCGCTGCGTGCCCGGGCAGGGAGCCTGGCAGGAGAGGGCAGGCGGTTGGTGCTTTCCAGGCTCTCGCTGGGGTTTGGTGAGTGCCTGATGCTGCCTTTTGGCAAAATCCGGCGGAGGGAGTTAGGCGAAGCCTTGCATGGGGACGTAACTGCCAAGTGCCAGCCGCCAGGAGCCAACTGAGCCACCACCGAGCTGGGAGGGTCTCCGAAGCGTTGCGTCTGGTTTAGCCCCAGGTTCTCCGTTGCCTTTAGGTTCTTCAGGAAAACATTTGTGTGGACACAGATATTTTTTTTTTTTTTCTTTAACTGAAAAAATTGCCCCATTTCCTCTGCTGCTTTAGAAATCCTCAGCTTGCCTGCCTCTCACTCCTGAGCTTTCTCCTCACTTGGACCATCCCGACACAGTGTGGTGAAACCTCCCGTTCCAGCCGTACCCATCCCTCAGACTGGGCTGAAGGGAAAACTTCAGGGAGTTGTTTGGTTTCTCTACAGTCCGCAAGAAACCTGCGAGGAGAATGTCAGCCTGTTTACCTGCGTAGCAAAGCAATTATCCTACTTGGAGAAGATGCAGCGCGCTTCCTTGTTAGTTGTTGCATGTCTGATGAGGACTTTTTCCTGAAGGCCAGGTGGGGATGTTCTCTGCCTTAAAATATATTGTCTGAGAAGTTTTACATCGCATCCTTCCATCTAGCCCACTGATTAATGGTGGTGGCCGGACTGATGAGCACACTGGAGAGAAAGGAGAGGGACTCGTGCACTGGGCTTGCAGAGGGACCCCAAGTCTGGTGTGCTGTCGGCAGTGCCCTCCCCAGTGACACTGTAGAAGCCTGCTGTCTGTCCCAGTTTGGTCACCTGAAATGGTTTCAGACCCATTTAGCCGGGGGAGCACAGCCAGGTGCATCACCGTGCGGTGTGCAGCCACACTTAGCTTCGAGCCGATAAACCAGAGATAAACTGTTTACTCCCACAGGTTTAACCTGAGTGACTCCGTATGAGGGGGCTCTTGGCAGCTCCTGATCCGTGCGATTACTGCCACGCCATGAGCTCCTCTGCTGGGAAAATCACCGCTCTGGAAACAGCGATTGTGCCAGCACACCCCTGGAAGCAGGATGCCACCTCCGTGCACGCTGAGATTTTCCAGCGTTAGCATCGATTTGTTTGCATTCAGGGTATTGTGTAGTGGAGCTGGATCCTGGTGTTTTCAGAACAAAGGGCTGCAAGCACAGCAGTCCTAGACCTTTCTCCTGCTCTGCTTTTATGACTGAGCAAAGCGCTCAGTAAATCCTAATCCAGGCTGCCAGCTTGGCACGTCGGCACAGGCAGCTTGCTGTTGGTGGCACAGAGGTACCACCTTTATGGTCTGAAAGCTGCACAGTCCCATTTCATCTCCAGTCTAGTAAGGTCTCTTTAGGCTGTTAGTTGGTCAGATAAGTCAATCCTAAACAAGTTACTCTGCCTGACTCAGGTGATTTCAGGGAGATCCTCGTTTACTTTATCAGGCACAAGTTAACTCTACTTTGAAGTACTTGGCACACCCACGGTTCACACTTTCTTCCATCATGCTAGTCATTTTGTTCAGGTTAGCTGAACTTCTAATATATATCACCAACCTCAATTTCTCTTTTTTTGCTTTCCAAACCTAAAATTGTACCTCTACACAGTCAGCCAGAACTCATGACTCTGAAAGCAGAAAAACTGTACCACTGTCTGCTGCTTTCGGTCAAGAAACATCTGGGTTCCCTAACCTCCTGTCTGCTTGGGCAGAAGTAGAGCGTGGCACTGGTTTCCTCTTGGGAAACATTTCTGCTGTGGAGTAAAGTGGATGCAGCAGGAGACCGGCTGTTGTGACGTGAGCTCCGCGTCCTCCTGCCGCTTCAGTAACCGCTCCGCTCTGTTGCAGCTGCTGTGGAGGCCTGTGTCTTGTACGGCTTGAAGCGGAGGGCGGCAGGATTCCTGCGCAGCAACAAGATAGCGGCTCTGTTCATGAAGGTGGGCAAGAGCTTTCCTCTGGCTGAGGAGCTCTGCAAGAAAGTGCAAGACCTGGAGCAGCTCATCGAGAATGCGTAAGGCACCGGCGTTGCGGTCGTCCTGCTGGTCGCTCGTGTTTTGGTGTGGGTGTGTAGTTTGGGTCCGGCTGTGGATCGCCATGTCCAACTTGAGCTGCTACAGGAGGAGTTGCTCTTTCAGTGGGGCAGAGTGCTGTCCTGTGCTTTTGATATCTTGACTGAATTGGTTGCTTTTTGAGGAGACTGAGAGTTGCAGTTGTGGTTTAAGCTAGGATGGACAAGTTCTTACTTCCTCCGCCCCTGTCTCATGCCTCAGGGTCAGCTAGGCGTGATTGCTCCTGGACTTCCACAGTTTATGGACCAGTACACTAAACCAACTGGAACCAAATTTGGTCTGCCTCAACCTACAGGGCTTGAACCTGCAGTAATTCAGCTTCTGTCTGAGAGTGGCTTACTCATCCTTGGACAGGAACCAGGGAGATGGATGGAGCAGCTACCTGGGGGCAGGAATCATTATGCCATCCTAAGATAAGCTGCTTTGCTTGTGAACCTCTCTCCTCAGGCACCAGTGGAAAAGGTGTGTGGGTTGAAGGGCTCCGCTGAGGCAGAGGCTTGCTCTAGGACGCCTTTGCAGTGGGAAACCAATTTTGTGAAGTCAGTTTTCAAATGCAGATGTGGGCTTTCTGGAGTAGGGGGTGGAGTAGATGAAGGGAGCAGTCTCCAGAGCCTTGTCCCCACGCAGTTCCCTGGGCATCCCCCAGCCACCACGGTCAGCACCGCTGAAACCCCGGCCCCTTGCCCCCCGAGGTGCCGTGAGGGCTCCTGCAGTGCTGAGCCAGTGATGATGATGTTGTCTTTTGCCTTGTTACCTCCAAAGACGAAATCAAGTCCAGGGCATCCCGGAGAATGTGCGCAAGATGCCGAAGCTGCCCAACCTGTCTCCTCAAGCCATCAAGCACCTCTGGATCCGCACAGCCCTCTTTGAAAAGGTCTTGGATAAAATCGTGCATTACTTGGTAGAAAACAGCAGGTGAGTGCTGGCACAGGCCAACCATTTGCCTGTCCCAACTCTCTACCAGTATCTGCCCCTTCCGATGGTGCTGGAGGTGTGACTGGCTGAACTGTGTCCAGGTGGGCCAGAGAAGTCCCTGGATGGGACAGGCCAGTTGTGTTGCTCCGTGCCCAGCACAGGGACTCTGCCTCATTCCCTGCTGCTAGTGGCCGCTGTACACTCCCTAAAATAAAGACAGGCTACGACGCTTGTTCTGCTGACAGCTGGGTTGTTGGGGACTGGGTCGTCCTTCTGGAAACTGCATGCTGAGGTGTCCTGTCCTGGAGAGGTGCCATCTCCAGTCCTTGGGATGTTTTGTTAGGAGATGGTGGTGCTTGCAGTTGTCTGCAGGAGGGCATCTATTCCCCAGGATTTTCACAGCTACCAGAAACAGCCTAAGTAAGGGCTTCTTGCCCTCTCATCGTCAGGGCGTGATACAGAAAGAGAAAGGCATTACAATGATTTAAAACCACTGTCTCTATAATTTTGCAGTCCCAGGGGGCTGAAATGCTACAGCATTCTGCTCTCCTTTTTTTTTTTTTTTTTTTCCTTTCCTTCTAGTAAGTACTACGAGAAAGAAGCTCTCCTGATGGATCCCGTGGATGGGCCAATTCTTGCATCTTTATTGGGTAACACCTTTCTCTTATCCTACTTCAATAGCTTGCTTTCCAAACCAGTGTTCCCAGTTCTGTGATCTGGGATGTGAAATGCACTTGTTTCCTCGTAAGAACTTCGGAAAACTTAATAGCCCTGGGCAGGTCGCCCTGCGGAGCGCTTATAAAGACCACGTGCTGCACAGCTGCTGAGCTGTGCAATAGAGATGGAACGTTGCAAGGCTGAGCTCGGGGGTTTCTTTTTTTGTGTGTGGACTTCGATAATATTGACGGGCACAAATAGGATGGTGTGCACGTGGCCGGTCAGGCGGTGGGTTATCTGCTCACTGCCAGGGCTGCTGACCCCTCTGGATTCTTTGCTGCTGTGACACAATGCAGCAAGGTGTGCTGAGCCCGATGCTTGCTGCCACCCCTGCTCTGAGCTGCTGGGCTGGCAGGGGGGGGTGGGATCGGAGGGGTGACCACAGTCGCGGGGACGCCACCGGCGACTTCCTTCCGTTTGTGATTTTTTTTCTTCTCGGCGCAGTGGGGCCCTGCGCGCTGGAGTACACGAAGATGAAGACCGCTGACCACTTCTGGACGGACCCCTCGGCCGACGAGCTGGTTCAGAGGCACCGGATCCACAGCTCGCACTGTCGCCAGGACTCGCCCACCAAGCGCCCGGCGCTCTGCGTGAGTGCGGGGGGGGCGCACGGGCAGCGCGAGGCCGTTCGGAAAGGGCTGGGAAGCCCTCTGATGAGAGGAGGAGGAAAAGGGGCAGCTGCTTGAAGTCTTCAAGCCAGAAATGCTGAAGAAAGTCTTGGAGCCAGAAATGCTCCACGTGTGCCGTGGAGATGGCAGGCGTGCTGGGCCGACGCGGGGTCTCCCTGCCTTTTGAGAACATCACGTATGAAGGAAAAGCAAAGGCAGCTGAAGTCTGCTCGGTTTATTGCAAACAGAGCCACGCTCCTGGAGCTTCTCTGAGTACAGAATCGAGCTTGGCCAGAGCCATAAATCCTCTTAGAGGACACAAAGGGAAAGATTTCTAGTATGAATTCCTTGAGTGTATAAGTGAGGAGGGAATGAGCTTTCAGGAGAAGCTTTTTGAAAGCAAGAGGCGTCAGTGCTCAGCTCACGTTTGCAGGTGGCTCTCTTCCAGATTCAGAAAAGGCATTCGAGCGGCAGCATGGACGACCGACCATCGCTGTCTGCCAGGGACTACGTGGAGTCGCTGCACCAGAATTCCCGAGCCACGCTCCTCTACGGCAAGAACAACGTCCTGGTGCAGCCGGTAAGTACCTGCTGGGGCGTCTGCGCTTTCAAATGCTGCTCTGCTCCCCACCAGGTAGTTCCCTCCCAGGTTGCTCTTTGGTGGGGAAAAGCACAGGCTCATTTTTAATCTGGGAAAAGGCGGTGACTGGCCTGTGCTTGTTGAGGTGCTGGTGAATGTGGATCCTCCCAGTGGAATGGAAGAGCTCTGCTTCTGTCTGAGTAGAAACAGTCTCCCCGCACTGCCTGCTCTCGACCAGAGGCCACAGAACCCTCCTCCTGTCCCTTTCTGCTTACTCTAGTCCCATAAATGAAATGCAAACTGCTTAGGTGGAGCTGTTAAGCTTGCCTCAGCCAGGAAGCTGCTCTCGGCCCTTTTCCAAGCTGGTGGGGTGTCCCGTTGTCTCTGCTGGGAGGTTTTGCAGGGTTTCTAGCCGCTGGTGAGGGGATGGGCAGCAAGCAGGGCTGTGGTGTAGGGTCCAGGACCGTGATCCAGGGCATGGCTCAGCCTCGGGAAGCCTGAGGCAGCGCTCCTTGCTTCTGGCCTCTGCCAGCCTGCTCTCACCAGCTCGTTCTCTCCCTGCGTTTCTCTTCTCAAGCGAGATGACATGGAGGCAATCCCGGGATATCTGTCCCTTCACCAGACTGCCGAGATCATGGCGCTGAAGTGGACTCCCAACCAGCTGATGAACGGCTCTGTGGGGGATCTGGACTACGAGAAGAGGTGACTGGCTCCGAGCGTGCCCCAGTGCGGGGCAGAGGGGAGGCGAATGCTCCCCAGGTTCAGAGCTTGGATTTGATGTCCGAGGCCATCAGTGAGTTTTCCTACCGACTGCAGAGCAAAGCAATCATCCCTGAGTCTGTAATGGGGGAAGCGACGGGGACGGAGGCCTGAGGGGGTGGCAGAAGGGGGTTGCGGGAGATGGTGTGAGGTGCTGTGCTATCGCCCGTCTGCTGGGAAGTGTTCAGCAAGGGAACTGGGCGGGGGGGCTCGTTCTGAAAGGTGCAAAGTGGTTGCATTTATTGCCCTCGGAGATTTTCTCAGGAGAATGCCCTCTCCACCCCCTACACAATACTTCCAGGTTTGTCGTGGTTATATGAATCTGGGGAGCTGAGGCGCTCGTGAAGAGGGGAAGGGTGTCTGCAGAGAGGGTGAAGGTGAGCAGTTCCCGGGTAGTCACACCTCGGTGACTGAGTGTGTGCCATTTTGCAGTGCTGTTTTGGTTGCAGTCTGCACCTGATCCTACGTGCAGGTGTTCAGAGTCCCCTGGATCTAATGGTGTCCCTGGAGCTCGTTCCTCCAGGAAGGCTGCAGTCTGCTTGGTTTGCTTGGCAGGGTGTGTTGCCATGCCCCTTTTCCCTGGGATTGCCCTATGGACTGCTGGCATTTCTTTTATAGCTGCAATCCTTATAACAAACTACAGAATCACACCAGGTCCCAGTTTGCATGAGAAACAAAAGCAAACAAAATCCCCTTCCACCAGCAAATGCTCCAGGAAAGCTGAAATGCTTAGTACACTGATTCTTTGACCTAGGGTAAAGATCTTCTTCAGCAAAACTTGTTCTTGGTTTTGGGTTTTTGTTTTTTGTTGTTTTTTTTTTTTTCTTTTTAATTTAATTTTTTGGGGTTTGTTTACCTGTGTTCTTTTCATCTCCCCTTTCTTCTTGGCCACTGGGCCATTCCCTTATGCCTGGTACCCTCCCCCTAAAACGCTATTTTCATCTCTACCCTACTTTTCTGAGTTCTTGATTTGGGCATCAGCCTAAGCTCTAAAACTTCCCAGTGTCAAGACGTGACCAAGGAAGAGAGGAGTCAGATGACAGAGTAAGTATGAATCTACAAGGAGTGACTCTTACACACCCCTTGCCATCCTTAACTATCTTCAGGATCATTTATTTTAAGCACTGTTTTTGTAAAGTGACAGATAATGCTGCTCAGAATCTGGAAATTCCTTTGTTGCAAAGAAGTAGGATGTTATTAAATGCTGACACCCTCACAGAGCAGTGCTCTTGCTAGGCTTTCCACAGAAATGAAACCCTGTGTGAGGCCACGTGTCTCTGGGTGGGATCCCCTCTCCCGTCTTCCTCCTGGCGACTCTCCGACCCTCTGCCTTGCCTGATGACCAGCAGCTCTCCCGGCATTTTCTAGATTTGCTCAGTTGCCTCGAGGTGCCTGTACAGAGGGAGCACGGTTCTCAGACAGAAGCAACTGGGGCTAAATGTATTTTCAGCTTTGAAAAAAAACCTCATGAATTTTGAGGGTGTATTTCCCCCTCCCTTGGGGACAGGAGCTCAGGAGAGCAGCAGCCCAGGCTCCGACTGCACTGCACGTTCCCTTGGGGCTCCGAGGCTGCTCCCACCAGGTTCATGGGGTTCTCCCAGCACGGCAGCAGGGTGGTGAGTCCTTTCTGGGGTGCCCAGAGCAGAGTCCTCAGCTTCGCAGAGCTCCACGTCCCTCCCTGCCATTGCCAGCATCCATGGGCACGTTGTTTGTGCCCGGGAATGACATGAGGGTAGAGAAACAGCCCAAGGCAGGTGGGACTGGACTTACCCTGACTGAGCTGTAGCAGCAGGGACAGTTACTGGTTCTGGAGGCATGTTGTCGCTTACTGAGGCTGGCTTCATGGCAGTCACGGTGCTGCTGGGACCTCAGCCTTTCTGTAGCTTCCCCTGGCACCAGGATAGCTGGAGGCAGGGTCTGGAGCTGGTGCGAACAGCAGCAGAGCCTCTTGCATCCCTGAAGCTCACAGCTTCCTCTCTTTCTCTGTTCCAGCGTGTACTGGGACTATGCCATGACTATTCGCCTGGAGGAGATCGTCTATTTGCACTGTCACCAGCAAGGTAAGGGCAGAGCGGGGGCTGCTGGAGGGGGGTTATCACCCTGACACTTGCTTCTTTGGGGAGTTTGCTTGTGGGGATGGTTTGATTCAGCTCCAGAGCAGATGTCCAGAGCTCTGGGTGGTCACCACAATGTGAGTGCTTCTAGGAAAACCTTTAAACCAGCTCCTGGCTGTGGTGCTTGGCTGGGGAGTGCTCCCTGCAGAGCAATGCTCAGTGGTTTACAAGGGTGTGATCTCCCAGGCAAGCCTTCTCCGGGGCCCCAGACTTGTAATAAACTTGGAGAAGAATCCAAACAAGGAAGAAAGTCATCTTTTTCCATACCAGATAGACAATTCCCTGAGTTTTCTTGCCTGCCCTCTGTCTTTTTGACTGGTAATGTTTCCCTCATTCATGTCTGTGTCTTCCCTCTGCTGTCGCTAATAGTAGACAGCGGTGGAACGGTTGTCTTGGTGAGCCAGGATGGGATTCAGAGGCCCCCGCTGCGGTTCCCCAGAGGAGGGCACTTACTGCAGTTCCTGTCCTGCCTGGAGAACGGCCTCCTGCCCCACGGGCAGCTGGATCCACCCCTCTGGTCACAGCGGGGAAAGGTAGGCACCCCGAAACCGAGCTTGTCCCTTGTGCAGAGCCGATGGGGAGGACCCTCTGCCTGATGTTAGCGGCTGCTGCATTTTAAACAATCCCCCTCCCGAAGCTAAGGAGGAAAGCGGGCTCGAAATGTGGCAGTTTGGTTTAGCTCAGGGCCTTGACCAGCGCCTTCTGGGCACATCAGAAGGGAGGAGGTGGCGTGGGAGCTCTGGCCACGGGGCACGATAGGTTTGGTTCTCCTGGACCTGGCCGTGCTGCGTGGGTTGTACATACCCTGTGCACAAACAGGGGGTTTATATTCACCGTGTAATTGAAAGCTTAAGCTGAAGGCTGCTCCAGCTCCGGGAACGTGCAAACATCATCCGGGCTGATGAAGCACGTGTTCTTGTCGGGCAGGAGCTTGGCAAGCGAGGCAGCGGCTACGCTGGCCTGCCTGCTCGGGCGCGGGGCGGCTTGTGAAGAGCAGGTTTTGTTCACCCAGGGGAAGGTGTTTCCCAAGCTGAGGAAGCGAAGTCCCCAGGGCTCCTCCGAGTCCGCGTCCGACAAGGAAGATGATGAAGCCACAGATTACGTTTTCAGAATAATCTACCCAGGGACACAGTCTGAATTCGGTGAGTGCGCTGGCAGAGGGTGGTTCGGGTGGGTTATCGCAGGGTGTACGAGCAGCCGGGGATGCAGCACTGACAGGCCCATCATGCCAGGAAGTGGTTCCAGAGAAATGGGCTTTGCTTGTAACAGTACTGCCTTTCATTCAACACCGTGTATGCGTCGGGGTTTTATTTTTTTGTTTGAACCTTTCACTTGCTACTGAGTCCTTCATCTCTGCGGCTGCTCAACAGGCCATAACGGTTGGAAAAAAAAAAAAAAAAATTCTTGCTCATAATTTCAGTAGAAAGGTTCATTTTGATCGTGTTCTTTGGTGTCACTTTTCCCCATCACAGGCCTCCAGGGCTGATTCTTCTCTTGCTATCACCAAGCCAACTCGGCAGGTGCTGCATTAAATTCAGCTATGTTCCTTCAGCGTTGCTTCTGCAGCGCAAAGGAGAGGTTACAGCACCCTTCTCTGGGTGCTGCCAGGCTGGATCCACGTGTCTCTGCTCCCTAGCTCACAGGACAAGGGAGAGGATGCTGCTGGATTCGCCAAACCACCAATCTCTCTTAATGTCTGGTTGTGAATGATCTGCACAATGTGCTTGGCTGAAGTGACTGTACGTTTGTCCTCACTCTCCTGTGGGGTACTAAGAACAATTTTTTTGACCTCTGGGAACATCTAAAGTAGATGACTGTATAAGGGGGGAAAAAACAACAGTGTAATAGAAGACTTGTGGAGCGCTTTTAAAAAGCTATGAAATTTGATCAAAAATGTCTTCCTATAATTTTGAGGCTAGAAGGGAACAGTCACATCTCCTGTCCTCCATAACATCAGTGAAGATTATACTTAGTTCTCCCTGCTTTTAGCTGACTAACACAATTCAGTGAGTCAGATAAAAATCTGATTGAGGCTAAAATAGCAGATAGAGACGCTCCTTTCTGTAGCTTCCTTTTGATCTGCCCCTTAAAATTCCATGCTGGGGGCCAGATTTTCTGTGAAATGAATTGCTGCAATCTCCTCCGCTGGCATCATCAAAGTCTGTGTGGTTCCTGTGGACCTTCCCAGAGGGGGGTGGAACTGCATCAGTTCTTTCTTCTCTACAGATTCTTCCTTTCTCCCCTTTCATTTGTGCCTGTGTCCTCTCTGTGTGTCTCTAGTTAGCATTAATGGTAATTTTCATCCATTCCTTGCGTCTGTGATCTCCATCACTGCTGTGAGAGGGAAGATGGCCAGGACTCCCGCTGCAAGCAAGATGGTGGTGATCCCTAAATGGTTTCCGAGTCTCCCCATCACGTCCCGACCTCCCCTTGCCACACTGGGGGCCGCTCGGCATCAGTGTAATGTCGCTGTCGTTTGTGTCTGGTGCTGCTGCTTGCCTGTGTTGTCACTTGACAATTCCTGCATGGGTGTCCGCTGTCACTGCGGTCTGTCCCTGACCCATCGGCACCTGCTCAGTATGGGGGAAATAGGAATATTTCAACATTTTTCTTGCCAGTTTCAGTCGTTCAATGTCGCAAGCGGGGAGAGTCAGCGAGAGCAAGGGCGAGTGAGGAAGCCATCTCCCAGCTGGAATTTCTACCACGATATAATTTCCAAGGGGGATCAAATAGGAGGATTCTTCATTAATCTTTTTTCTGCATCCCACGGTTCACCTCTATCATGAAGGTGACCTGGGCAGGGTCCGAGGCCGTTGCAATAGCACATCTGAGTCTAAGCAGGGATTTAGCGAGTGACAACATGAAGAGCTTCTTGCTCCTGCTGTCCTTCCCAAGTTCTTCGTCAAAGTCTTTACCTCGGGTCTTGTGATTTGGATGCTTCAGTCTTTCCCTCAATCTTGGATGGGATCCTAATGTGTGAGAGGTGGGGGCTTTTCCCTTCCAGTGAGCCACGCTTCTTGGGACAACAGTTGATTTCAATCGTGTTTTTTGTGTGACAATCTGTTGCAGCCCCTTCTCTTGAGTCTCTCTGGGTTGGCTGTTTGTTTTCTGCCTTGGTTAGCACTCAACAGTAAGATTAGCTTGCTGAAGGCACTGTAGTTAATTACCAGATGGTTCTCTCTCTGTCTTACCGATGCTCTTTGTTTCCTTTCCCCTCTCCCGAGCTCACGAGTGCTGGTGCTGTGATTACCTGGTGTGGGTCCTACCTGATTGCTGAGTCTCCTTGGGAAGAGGACGGGACGCTGCATTTGCTAATCAAAACTCCCCTCTCTGTTGACCTCCCGTGGCTCAGCTGATGCTGGGTCAGAGCCAGGCAGCAGCTGATGCTCCTCTCTCTGCTCTTACAGTGCCCCAGGACCTGATGGACGCGCCGGGTGCTGGCCTGCCTCCCATGTGGCAACCCAGCACCCGCAAGTCCTCCTGCTCCTCCTGCTCTCAGAGCGGCTCCTCTGACGGCGGGCCATCCAACGGCTGCAGCCACGAGAGGTATGATGGCTCTGCTGCTGCTCGCTTTGAGAAATACAGGTAAAATAAAATAACAGCTACAGGTGGAAGCGCAGCTGGACGGCTGAGCTAGAGCAATAATGGTGCAAGTGGTGTCTCCAGCCTCACACGCTGCTCGGTTGTCCAGGGACCATTTGCAGGGGCCAGTGGGACACGTCCAGGCTGAAGTGAGGCTTCTCCCCTCACCTGGGATGTCTCAGCTGCTCTGTGGTCATGTCCTGGCAGCAAGAATTGCTGCTCTCAAGCTGAGCAGAGGTCCCGTGGCACACCTCTAAAGGCAAAGCTGGAGTGGTCAGATCAAGGCAGGGAATGCACGGGAGCATTTCCTCTCCTCACGTCCTGTATGTTTTTATTGGCAGAGCTCCACTGAAGCTCCTGTGTGACAATATGAAGTACCAAATCCTCTCCCGGGCCTTCTACGGCTGTGAGTACTTGTGACATCCATGAGATGTGTGATGGGCAAGGGGTAGAGTCCTGGCCTCCGGGCTAAGAGTGGTGCTGAAGCAGCAGGGCAGTGGCCGGGGTACTGGGACCAGTCTGTTGCACGCAGGGCCCTACGTACACATGCTCAGGACTGGGAGCAAACGTCTGAATTCTGATCCTTGGACTTGAGCCCAGCGAGCAGCAGCGCTGGTGGCACAAGGCGATGAGCTGCCTACCTGTCCCAGTAGATTCCCTGCTTTGCTGCTCAGGCTGGGAGTGGCTTCCGAGGGATTCCTTCGGGGACCAGATTCATCAGAGCTTTTTTCCTGCGCTTCATCCTCGCGGCTCCCTGCGTTCCCTGGCTGAATGTTTGCTTCTGCCTGATGCAGGGCTGGCCTATTGCAGGCACCTCTCCACGGTGCGAACCCACCTCTCTGCGCTGGTGAACCACAACATCGTGTCTCCTGACGTGCCCTGCAACGCCAGCTCGGGACTGACTGTGGACATATGGCAGAGATACCTGCAGGACAGCACGGTAGGGCCAACGCTCCTGGGAGAGGCCGGTTGTGGTGGGCTTGGGGTGGCCAGGGCAGCGTCGCTTAAGTGGTTGTGGCCCGGTAAAGAAAATTGAGAAGTTCCCTGAGGAGAGAAATCAGACAGCCTGCCCCAGGCTCTTAATTCTTGACATGTGGACACTGGGGAACGAACGCTGCTCTCCTTAGCACGCTTCTGTTCGGAGCCTGTCTGCAGCAGCATCTCACCCCGAGTTCTGTGGTCTTGAGGGGGGGTCCTGGCACGCTGTTAAAGCAGGATAGCTGAAGAGCTGCGACCAGTGCCACAGTCCTGATGTGCTGCCGGGGCTCAGAGTCCCAGCAGTGACTTTGGTGGGCCACTTTCTGGCTGTGGTGAGCCAGTGCTTCCCGAAATGTCCACCCACATGGGCCTCTGGCTGTGCTTAAGCCCAAGTGGAGATCCGAGAGAGCGTCTGCAACAAATGGGCAGCGGGTTTGTGGGTGGTCGGCGTCTGGGCAGCGCTCTGGGTGCTGAAGGGTGGCATGGCTGAGCTGGGGTTGCCCTCACATCTGCCAGCTGGTGGGCTCTGGTCCTGGCTGCATCTGTGCACTGACCTCCAGCTCTGCCCACAGAGTTATGAGGACCAGGAGCTGCTGCGGCTGATCTACTACGGCGGGATCCAGCACGAGATCAGGAAGGCTGTCTGGCCTTTCCTTTTGGGGCATTATCAGTTCGGGATGACAGAGGCAGAAAGGAAGGAGGTTGGTATGGGCGTGCTGCTGGCTCAGCAGCCTGGTGTATTGCACTGGTGTGCACTGGATATTTCACAACTTTGAAGTGTCTGTGAGCCACAGTCCCCCCTGTGAACCCGCTGGGCGTCGTGTCCCCCTTGTAGCTGTAGACAGGAGGTGGGAGAAAGCCTCAGAGCAGCAGGAATTGCTAGGACAAAGCTCGCCCCTGCGCTGTGCGGATGCAGCTGCTGGCTGCTGATGTTCAGTGGTGCACCTCTGGAAGGCAGGAAGGAGATGGGCGGTCATTTTTCCATCCTAATTTTTGCGAGGTTTTGTGGCTCAGGCCCTGGCTGGCGCCGTGCCGGAGGCGGGAGACTTTATGTCCCACCTAGCCGTCGTTAACGCGAGCAGGCGCTCAGCTTGTCTGTGCAGGGCTGTTCGGGAGGTGCAGGAGGTGCTGGCTTCTGGGTTCCTCCGAGGACAGCTGCCCAACGCCCCTCTCTCTCTCTCTCCAAACGCTGCAGGCTGACGCCCAGATCCGCGCCTGCTACGAGCACACCATGGCGGAGTGGCTGGGCTGCGAGGCCATCGTCCGGCAGCGGGAGAAGGAGTCGCACGCCGCGGCTCTGGCCAAGTGCTCCTCCGGGGCCAGTCTGGACTCCCACCTTCAGAGGATGATGCACAGGGACTCGACGATCAGCAATGAGGTGAGGGTGTGGGGTGTGGGGGCTCGGGGAGGGCTGTGCCCACCCGGGCTCCTGTGCCGCAGGGAGGGACGGAGACACGGTTCTTGCTCACCCTCCTTCCCTGACCTCTGCCTGCCTCAGCGCCTCGTTGCTCGCTGTAATCCAAGCGAGTTAGGGCTGGAGCTTTCTTACCCATTTGCTTTCACCTGCTCTTCCAGAGTGTTTAACAGTAAGGGGTGGCATCTCCTGCGGTATGACCCCGCTTTCCATACTGTGTGCTCTTGAACCGACTGAGAGGTTTTGATCTGCAGCCTGAGTGATGTATTGGAGGTCAAAAACCATCTCCTTTGGTTCTTGCAGCTGCAGTATCCACAGCGGCACTGAACGGCTCTGCAATCCCTCACCCTGGGTCGGGGGTGCTGGGCACAGAGGGCCTGAAAGCCAGGGAGAGGGCAGGGAGTCAGCCAGGAGCTCAGAACTCGTTTGTGGAGCTGCATGTCCAAATCCAGATACTCCTACCAGTCCTGTGAAATGTTCCTTGTGGGTATTTCTGGAAAACCAGAGACGCTCGTTACCCGGTTGGCACTTCTGGTGCAAACTTCCATGGAAGTCCCTGTCGAAGTAGGGGGAGGGAGGAGGACAGCTTTTCTGGCACCGAGGGGCTGTGAAACAGGTCGTTGGGCTTCTTGGCTCCCTTTTCCATCAGCTGCTCAGCACAGAGGACGCCTGGGCCACCGGAGGAGTGGGATGGCTCTGGGACTGGCTGTGAAGGAGCCTGCAGGGCTCAGGGCCGCCTTGTGCCATCGTGGGACAGAACTGGGCCCCAGCACCCAGCTCCGTGGGACTGGCTTTTAGCAGTGCAGTGAGGAGTCAGATCCACAGCCCAAACCAAAGGGTGTGGAGGGAGAAGCCTGTTAAAGGAGAGGCGGTGCTGGGTGCAGAGGCCAGGGAGTGTTTCTGTGTGTTTTTTGTCCTTGGAGGAGAAGAGCCGGCGCGGCAGAGCAGGCGGTGCTGGGTTGTCTGACCTCGTGCTGCCACGCCGGAGGCGAACGGGGACCAAGCCAAGAGGGGCCTGGTAGCTGCAGCACTGGAGACCTTCATCTGGTTTCCTCTGGGGAGTCTGTGTGGATGCTTTTGGAAAGAGACGAGCTCGGCCCTAACCAGGCGGGCTACGTGTGTGCACAGAGGGCGAGATGCAGGGGAGGCAAGTCCAAACCGGGGTCGGTGTGCGGGAGGGGGATGGCCCAGCTCTCACAGGGGGTGAGCAGAGGTGGGCTGCACGGTCGGCGTTGCTGAAGCCCCGGGAATCATTCCCATCCCCAAAGCTGGGGATGAATGCTGCGGTGGTTCTTTTGTGTCCACGCCTGCCTGCTCTCGGAACGTGCACTGGGAGGGGAGCTGGCAGAGTTAATGCGTGCAAAGGTTCACCCTTTTCCCACCTCAGCCTGAAATTTCCTGTTATAAAATGCTCCTGTGGTAATGGAAGAAAACTGTCGCCCTTCCTATCAGAGCCCTGCTCAGCAAACACCCACAATAGTAGGGTGGGAACAACTCCTGCTGCCACCCTGAAGGTGCCGTGTTTTCTTACAGCCCTATTGTTTGTGTGTGATGTCATTGCAACGCTCTGCACATCCCGACTCGCGTGCGGCGCGAGCAGCCGCGGGCTCCTGCACTGGGCTGGCGCGGGGAGCGGGGAGGACTCGTTCTTTACTGAAGGCTCGTTGCTCAGAAGGGAATCCACGAGGCAGAGCACTGAGCTGGTCGCTGGAAAGCCCGACGCTTCCTTCTGCGTTTCAGCTGGAAGCCAGAAAAGGGTGCTGTTGACTTTGAGAGGGGCTGCCTCTGCTCAGTCTGACTTGAAACATCAATATTTATCCTTTAAGAAAAGGAAAAAACATTAATACGCTCAGAGGGATTGTTTTATAGCCTGTGACTTCATCGTTTATGTAAACTAAGATGGGCTGAGCTGCCTCGCTGCCAAATTAGGACAGAGATTTGTAGAAATTTGTACTGCAGGGAGACAGCGTGACCTCTCTGAAGGCCAGAAGAAAGCAGTTCCTTTCAGACCCAAACATACCGTGTTTGAACTGGATTAGCCTGGGATGGAACTTGTTTTTTTGTCATCCTCTCCGGCAGTAAATGTCAGTGGTGGGCTGGGGCAGGGTGCTGCGCTGGGTGACAGATCCGCACGGCAGAGTTGATGTGACGTGAATGTCTTTCATGGGGCAAATATGAGAATTTCTTGGAGGCATTTTCTGCTCGTTCTTTACGTGCAGATGTGCCCACCTCTTACAGCGTGGCTTGAGCCTCCCCCCGCCCCAGACACCGTGCTCTTCGCCTTTTCACTGGCCTTTTCCCCTCTCTCTTGCAGTCTTCGCAGAGCTGCAGCTCTGGCCGACAGAATCACGCCCGGCTGCAGAGCGACTCCAGCTCCAGCACGCAGGTGAGCGGCAGCTCTTTGTCCCCTCTTGCTCGTTCAGACACCCAACAGCCTTCAGCGCTCTGCCCCGCCTCGGGCTGATCACCGGTCGATAACCATAACGACTTCTGGCAAACAGAAGCCGTAGTTGGAAGAGGGCAATGACACTCAAACCTGCCTCTGGAGCCGCTGAGGTCAGAGCTGTGCCCTGCTTGGCAGTGTTTAATATTCACCAGCCTGCTCTGCCCAGGCTCAGGGGACCAACCCCCATGTGGCCTTCGCACTCGAGGGCCCTTGGCTGCTCCATATGGAAGTAACCCTGTGTTTAAATAACATTCTGCCCAATGTATTATGCTGAGTAAAGCGTAGTCCTTTGGAGCAGGGGCTGTGGGCTCCGAGTAGTGCAAATGATCAAGCTCTGACCTGCCAAATCCAGGCAGGGGAACCTAAAGGCTGAGGACTGTGCCCAGAAATTCCTCCAAAAGTCTGGTTAAAACGGGACAGGGAGCTAGATGCTCAGGCTGAAGGTGTCTCTCGCTATAGCGAAGATGTGGAGCCACAGCCAGGCACAGCACTAGTAAGTTAAAATGCCTTCAAGTCCTCTGAGCTTTCTTCCACTGGTTGCTTGTATGAGTCCTGCACACATAGAGCAGATCTTCCTCTCTCCCTCCTGCTGGGAACATGGGCATTGCGTCCCCAAGAGCTGCAGTTAAACTGCTGAATGCAGCCCTTGGGGACGTAATGCCCATGGTCCCAACAGTTTGCTGAATGCTGGGGGTTTACTCACTCTCATGGGTCTCTCTGCTCGTGCTCTGCAGGTGTTTGAATCTGTTGATGAAGTGGAACAGATGGAAGATGGCAAACAAAGCAAGATCCCCAACGGGACGGTTCCCAACGGCACGTGTTCCCCTGATTCTGGCCACCCCTCTTCCCAGAACTTCTCCATCGCCTCGGGCTTCTCGGAGCGCAGCTTCAGCAATGAGGACAGTACCCTGGAAACCAACAAATCCTCGGCCAGCTCTCAGGGAAAGGCCGGTGGGTCTGAGATGCCAGGCCCACAGGACCCGGACGGTGCCCGGCAGGAGGAGAAGCTGCAGGGCCAAGACAGCCTGGAAGGGGAATTTCCCACCAGTGGAAGCGTGGACTTTGTTCCGGTGGGTGAGAGCTCGGCAGGGGTCCTGCGTGATCATGATGCTGTGGCCCTGACTGTGGTAGAGAGCTGGGCAGACAGCGAAGCTGAAAAGCAAAGCTTGGTGGAGAGTGAGGATAACCTCTCCGAGGAGCCGGAGATGGAGAGTTTGTACCCTCAGCTGGATTCTCTGGCTGTAGCTGACCTGGCCAACAGCGAAACGTCTGCTGTCTCCTCGTCGGGTGTCACCTACTCTGTAAGTGGTTCAGTGAGTGGGTTTGTTCCTGGGTGTCCCACTATTTCCCTGCATTTTCCCTGGGCAATTCCTGTGTGTACAGGGGCTCTCCACCTTCCACCCAAATTCTGCCCTGGCGCTTTGTTGCCCTTGCAACTTTTTTTTTGGTTTTTATTTGGAAACGAATCAACTTTGCTTTTTGTTTTGGGCAGCCGGAGCTACTGGACATGTACACGGTGAACCTGCACCGCATCGAGAAGGACGTGCAGCGGTGCGACCGCAACTACTGGTACTTCACCCCTGCCAACCTGGAGAAGCTCCGCAACATCATGTGCAGGTGGGAGCTGTGGGGGCCGGGGGGGCCCCGCCAGCCCTTGCTGCGGCGGGAGTGGGCTCCTGACACTGGTGGTTGGTTTCCCCGAACTCACCTTGAGGCTGGTGCCTCAAACTTTGTTCTGGTTCCTGAGTTTCGCCTCCTTGACTTCTTCCCCCAAATCCCCTCGTCATCCCAAACTGGGGCCACAGCTCCGAGGACCACCCGGTCCCCAGACCGAGGAGCCCGGCCGTCCTGCCTTGCGCCGCTCTGCCGCGTGTCTGGGTTGTTGGCCGGAGCAGAGGGCTCCCTGGGGCTGCCCAGGCACGCCGTCGGAACCCAGCGCAGCCCACCTGCTCTCCGGAATATATCTGGAAAATATTTTAATGAGGATTAGCCCGCAGAGCTGTAGTGCTAATGAGGAAGTGCCTGAAGGGACCCAGTGATTAGTGCCTACCCGAGAACCCAGGAGACAGCAAAACCTGGGTGCGTTTCTGATTCTCTTCGCTTAGTCTCTGTGACTAAGGGGTTGCTGTGTGACATTCACCGACTCAATTCAGCTTTAGCTCAGCAGCTGCGGCTGCTTCAGGGGCAGTGAAGGCTAAAATACTGTTACTCATCTTGCAAATATGAGGAGAAGCTGCTATTTCATTAGTGCTGTCACTTTGTCTGACAGCCAGAGTTGGAGATCTCTGCTGAGATGAGGTCTCCAATGCAGCACATTCTGGAAAACTAGTGGGCAGGATGGAAAAGATCGTTCCCTTGCGCCAGCAAGGATCTGAGTCCTTTTTGAGCACGTTTTGACTTGCTACCAAATATGGGAAGATATCTCTGCAGAGCTGGTTGCTTCCTGGGACGCTGGGTCCAGGGAAGCGAAGCAGGCAGTACCGTGCAGAGAGAGCCAGGAGGATGGACTGAGGGGGAAGGGTGAGAATGAGGGATAAACGAACAGACTCTACCAGTTTCTGCCCTTTGACCAACCAGCCCACCTTGCTGTGCTTTTTGATTTAACTTTTCCTTGCTCTGATTTCCACGCAACGGCCACGGCCCAGCCCCGGATCGACACCCTGCCGTGGCTTACCCGAAAGTCACCACAGACACTTTAATCATTTACAGGCCGCCCTCAAAGGGACGGAGCGTAGGTGTAGCAGCACAAAAAGGTCTGATTTTCCCTGCCTGCTGCCCTGCGTTGGTGGCAGCAGGTAGGAGATGCTGGTGTCCCAGGAACTGGAGGCCGGGCCCGGGCGAGCGAGGTGGCAGGCTGTGGCACTCACGCGTGGCACGGGAAGGGCTCACGGGTCACCTTTCCTGCTCTCTCCCACAGCTACATCTGGCAGCACATTGAGATTGGCTACGTGCAGGGCATGTGTGACCTGCTAGCCCCTCTCCTGGTCATCCTGGATGACGGTGAGCGGGTGGCTCTGCTCTGGCTTTCCCCCATACCTGCGTGGGGGGGGGATGTGCTGGGCTGGCGGTGGCCCTTTGCAGTGGGAGGGTCGCGGGCTCGGTGGTGTGGGGTGGCTGTTGGCAGGGTCCCGTTTGTCCTTGATGCTGCCTGACTCCCGGGAGCCCAGCCTGGGGACCTTTTTCAGCATGAGGGGTGTTTCCGAGGCCGGTCCCGGCTGCGCAGCCCTGGCTCTGTGTGTGTGTGGAGCAGGGAGGGATATTCCTGCTGCGTGCGGGTGGCAGGGTGTGGGGGTGTGGGTGCAGCAGAGCAGTGACTGTCTCCCTCCCCTGTGCAGAGGCTCTGGCTTTCAGCTGTTTCACCGAGCTGATGAAGAGGATGAATCAGAACTTCCCCCACGGAGGAGCCATGGACACCCACTTTGCCAACATGAGATCCCTGATCCAGGTCGGGGGGTCCTGGCACGGGGACGGGGCAGCCCCTCAGGCCAGAGGGGGAAAGCTGTTCTCGGGAGGGGCTGAGAGGAGCTTTCAGTGGTGGGAAGCAGGAGGGAGAGCAGCGGGCTGTAAAGACAGCTTGGAGTAATGTGTGCCAGGGCTGCAGAGGAGGAAGAAGCTGCGTGGAAGATGTTGTGGTGCAGCAGGAGAGCAGTGGGAATAGGAAGGCAGAGGAAGGGCTGGTGCCTCTGGTGCACACTGATGAGTTTCCTTTTGATTTCTTGGCAGATTCTGGACTCTGAGCTCTTCGAGCTGATGCACCAGAACGGTGATTACACTCATTTCTACTTCTGCTACCGATGGTTTCTCCTGGACTTCAAGAGAGGTATGTGCTGGGAGGGAAGCAGTTGAGACCAGCAAACGGGGAGGGAAGGCAGGGTCTGCCATGATTCCGCGCTTCTCAATACACTCTGCAACTTCAGTTGTTTGAACTTGACTTTTCAGCACGTGTTCCTGTTTTGCTTTTCCCCGGTAGATTTGTGGCTGACTTTTCTAGATGCAGAACCTGCTGTTCCGGAGCTGCTGCTGAGCCTCCACCGGGTTTGTGTCCTGAAGCCTGTGCCACCTGCTGCAGGCCTGAATATTTGTCTCTACAGATGACTTGCTTATTGCTTCCAACTGGAACAGGTTCTTGTGGGAAGGAACCACCCAGCGTGTCTTCCCAGTGCTGCTGTGAACTCCGTGAGTCAGGGTGATTGCAAACCCGTGGCTGGTGTAGTAACTGCTGGGCTTTTTCCTCTCTTAACAGAGCTGGTGTATGATGACGTGTTCGCCGTCTGGGAGACCATCTGGGCAGCTGCACACGTTTCCTCTGCACACTATGTGCTCTTCATAGCCCTGGCTTTGGTGGAAATGTACCGGGACATAATCTTGGAGAACAACATGGATTTTACAGACATCATCAAGTTTTTCAATGGTACAGCTTTTGTTCTGTTGGGCTGAGTTTGTGGCAGCTGCTCAGAGGTAGGCAGCACATGTCTGCCTGCCTATAGACAGTCATATCTGGGCTCTACTGGTAGAAGTTTAAAACAAGCAGAGCAGTGGATGGTTGTGCAATGCTGGTGCTTGGAACACGATGGTATAGAGACCCTTTGCCCCTGAACAGCCAGGCTCTGAGGGGGTCTGGCGGTGCGTGGGGGGAGCTGCCCTGCAGTCCTTGGCAACAGCCCCCCTTGCCGTGCTTGAAGGGAGCTGTGAGCATAGGTTGTGTTTCCTGCTGGCTGTAATCCTCCCGAGACGAGCTGGGTAGTGATGGCTCTTAAGAGTCAGGCAGCTGCGAGGGGTGGTGCTGGGGAACTCGGGCAGGAATTCGCAGCTTCGGATCCCGCCAGGAGCTCGGCTGAGAAGCAGAGAGCTGTGAGGCTGGGGCTCTCCTCGCGATGCCGGGCTGCTCGGGTCTAGCCTCTTTGTGGGTTCCTTCTGTCTCTGTTCCAGAAATGGCTGAGCGGCACAACACCAAGCAGATCCTGAAGCTGGCTCGGGACCTTGTCTATAAAGTCCAGACTCTGATCGAGAACAAATGAAGGACATGGGGAAGACGAGGCATCCAGACAAAGAGCCGGGACTCCCTTTCAATGCTTCCTCCCCTTCTCCTTTTTCTCCAAGTGCCACACCTGTGGAAATAAGGTAGTGGGACACATGCTGCTGTCTAAACTGGAAGTACCCTTAGCTCTCCAAGTGCTGTGGTCAGTGTTAGGTCCAGGGCCCCCGGCTCAGATCTCTGCAGCCTTCTTCAGTGACTTAACCAAAGATCCGTACAATTGCATTTAATTGCGAAGGACTTGCTTTGGAAGCAGGACCCAGGCAGTCGCTTCCTTGCCTCGCTGCAGCCAAAGGGCAGCGAGTGTGGTTACCACCACAACTGCCGAGGCAGTTGCCGGCGTCCCGGGGCAGAGCTGGGGGTCTGGGAGAGCAGAGCTGCCAGCCCTCCCCCCGGGGCCAGCTCGGGCTCGACAGCCTTTGTTGCAAGAAAATAAAGCTGCTTCCTTGGAGAGCCCTTACCCTGTGGCACGGGGAAGCCAGCCAGCCCTGCAAGCCTGGGCGACCCAGGGATGCTGCCGGTGCTCAGTTTCTTACAAACTTTATGAGGTTCTGCCAGTAACAGGGAGGGACTTTGATCACAGAAATTCCTCTTCTTTTGATCTTGTCCCTTGATGCGTAGCATCCCCTTCAGTATTTTCTTTAGGGCTCTGGTCTCTCCCTGGGATTTTTAGGTTGTTTGTTACTACAATATCTGAGCACACAAGAGTTTCATCTCTGGATGAATTTTCAGAAGAGCTCCACGTTCAGCATTGGGTTTTTCTTTCAAAATCCAGCCTCTGTAACACGCTCTGAACACTGGAAAATCTGGTCCTAACCTCCTCTGGGAACTCTAGACTTGAGGTTTTCTTACCTGCCTTACTCTAGCTGCTCGTGTTAGGAGTCTGGTCTCCTTACTGTTCCTCTGCAACCCCTGCTAGGCGGGAGCTCCTCACAAGGCAAGTCAGAGCTCCTGCCTTCGGTGACTGTCCTGACTTTCCCACTGAAGGTGTCTGTCTTTTCCTCTGTTAATGGAAAGACCGGCTGCTCAAAGCTAGACAGTGCAAACAATCCCCTTGGTGCCTGCAGGTTTTCTGTGTGCTTCTGGGGCTGGCTGCAAAGCCCCCAAGTCCACTGAAAGTCTCCAGTTAGGTCTTGGTGTGGTCTTCTTTCACACGCGAGAAAGAATTCTTCCTTTCACATGCGAAGAGGAAAATAGCCCAAGGTCCCTGTTTGCTTTTGGAAGATGCACTTCTGTGGCCACTTTTCCTGCAGTGGCTCTCCAGCGTGGCAGCCCCTGGAGCACACAGCATGAAGTGCCTCTCCAGCACTACCAGCGTGAGAGCTGAGCTGCTGTGTCATGCTACGGCTGCGCTACGGAGGGTTTGGATTCAATTTTCAACTCAGGTAAAAACAATAAAGGAAAAGGAGAGGTGGAGGCTGTCGGTAGGTCTAGTTCAGCCAGGGAGGGCTTTGTCACGGCCACGGGAGGCTGCCGTGAACGTGTGCTTTCAGCAGCAGGGAGGACGCTGGGTTGTAGCTCTCTCTAAGGGTACTTTCTCTCAAGTTTTGCTGCAAAAATTTGTGTTCCCCCTCCATGCGATGTGTGCTGTGTGTGTGCTCTCCTCCTCCCGTCTGCAAGATAGGCCCTGCTCTTCTCTTGCTGTTGGAGTGCTGCTCCCCAGAAGGGAAAAGGGGCCCTTCCCTCCTTCTGTGGGACATCTGTCTGTGCTGACTGTGTTTCGTATTTATTTGTGGCATATGTCAGACGTTGCTTGCAGAAAAAAGAACAGATGTAAATCTGCAGAAGAGACGACTGCTGCTTCAGAAAAGTTCTGCAGAGCGTGGTGAAGCGGTTTGCAGTTTCTGAGCAAACCAGCTCATCTTTCTGCGCTGCTGGGACGTGGAGGTTGCAGCTAGAAAAAACAGGGAACGGTAGTGTCTACTGAACCCTGTGGGGAAGAGGATGGCAGGAGGGGGTGAGAGCAGTGGGGAACCTTTCATGTCTCGTAATCCCAACAAGCAAGTGTGTACCAACCACCTAGGAAATTCTTTGAAGCGATTTTTCTGCATAAAACCGCCAAAGAGTGCTTGGTCTGTAGTGGCGTGGGAAACAAAGGCAGCTGAGCTTCGAATCTGCCAGTTCGTGTGTAAATCTTTCATCTTTCCACAAAGCAGAGCGAAAAGCTCATGCCCACCCTGCCGGGCTGTTGCAGTTCCCTCCGGACCCTCGGGCAGGAGCAGGCTGCCTGCATCACCTTCCCCCCGAGGGGGAGGGAAGCGCTCTGTCCCCCCCCCCGTTCTGAGGGACACGAACCAGTAGGTCAGTTTAAATACGGTCTTGTCAAGCAACGTTGCTGACACTTTATCTCTCAAGCTTCTGTTTTCCTTTCCTTGGTTTTTAAACAAAAACAGCCAAGAAATTCTGCACAATATTTGCTGTCTGTATTAACTGAGAGTGTCTTTGGGCCGCTCAATAGCAGTGTTTTTTGAATAACTTCTGGGGGGAAAAAGTATTTATTTATTGATTGTACATTACTGTGTGTCCTTGTATACTGAAGTATGTGAGTGTGCATTGTTCGCAAATGGAGATATATCTTTTCAATGTTCTTTACAATATCTTGTAAATGTTTACCAGAAAATTGTGTCTATATATAACATATATATATATATACAGTATAGGGAGAAAATATGTGAACTAAGTGGATTATTTTTTGAGGGGGGGGAGAAGAAATCTTTTGCTTCTAAGAACTGTGTGGTTCCTATAGCACCTATTCCCTAATGTGCCAATCTGTCACTGTCTCTGTGCTGTGAGAATTGTTCTGGTACGGCAACAGGAAGCTCAGAGCAGAACCACCATCACAACCTCAGCTTGGCTTGATTTTAGTTCTGACTTTAAAACTGTAATAGAAATAAAAAAAGGAGGGGAGGAAAAAAAAAAAAAAAAAAAGCTTTGTTCCATCTATGGTGCTGAGTTGAGTGTGCAGGAGCAGGCCTCTGCCCAGGCTGGGCAGGGTTTCGTGCCTGCCCTGGGCTGAGCTTGGGTAAGAAGAGTTGCAGAGTTGAGATTTGGTGTGGGTTGTGAAGAAGCTGGCTCGTCCAAAGAACAGGATACGTCATTTAAATCGGGACTAGAGTCATTCTCCTTTGCAGCTGAAGGGAGCTTTTGGTTAGGACGGGGCACTGCATGTCCTGGGCACGGGCGGAGCTGATCCGCACCCTGCCCAGCCCTGCTGCAGGCGCTGCCCCCCCGCCCTGCCCTGCTCCCCTTCCTCCAAAAGTCAGCAAAACCATCTGCTCCCTGGGAACGCCAGCCTGAACTTGGAGCTCCAGCTTTGTGGAGCCCCGCGCGGTTCCCAGGCCCCTGCTCTGGGGGGACGCTGCTGTCCCCGGGCTCTGGGCAATAGTCCCGGGCTCTGCCCTTCCCCGGCCCCTCTCCGTGTGAGGTCCCTTTTGAGCATCTTAGAAGCTGGGTTGGGTGGGAGCTGTGCTCCTCGCTGACCCCCCCCCCCCCCCCCGGGGCAGCCGCTGTCTGACGGGCAGGTTGATGTGCTTGGGGAGACCCAGGGCGAAGCAACACCGGGACTCCGGGGCTCGAGATCGGTTCGATGGTTAAAAGCTACTAAAATTTAAGCAAAGGTTTTTGTTGTGCAGCTCTTTGTAGGCTCTTTCCTGCCTGGCTCTGCCAGATTGCCCTGAGGTAGAAGCATTTTTCTGGGTTTCCCAGAGCGTGAACCCTCGCGGCCGTGCAGCCGGCGATCGCCTGTTTACCACGGAGGGAGAAGCCCGTCGCGGGGGAATGCGTTGCCCATATACAGTCATCTTGCCTGGCTCCTCGGGGCAGAGGAATGTCTCATCCCAGCAGCTCCGTGCAGCTGGAATCCACCCCCCTGCAATGGCACTACAAGCCGGGGACTAGCCTTAGCCTGCTGCTGCTCGCTCAGCGGGACCGGGGGCTCGAGCCGCTCGTGCCTTTTCCTCGGGGCGCGTGCCCCGGGCCCGGCGAGGTTTGCGTCCCGCTTGCCCCCGGCCGGCGTTCCGCGCTCCGGGTCCCGAGCGAGGGATGGACTCCACAGGCTGAGCAGCCGTGGGGCTCGGGGGGGGGGTTCGATTTATCTTTTGTTAGAGCTGCTCAGTTCGCAGATAATCCCGGCGTGTTTAAATACAGTGAATGTGTCCTGGCCCCGTGTTCCCCCCGGGAGTTACTAATGGATTCCCTTTCTGCATTTGAGCTTTCTACTGATGCACCCTACCCTGTAACTCTTGGTACCCATCTCTCTTAGTGTTATTCATGTGAACACTTTAGAAGTTGTCTTTGTTCCTAAACGTGTGATTTTTACAGGACTTTTACTGTCTTGAGTCTCTGAATTGCTTTGCTATTACCATTTTTCATGAAGACTGAGAGGGTTTTTTGCGTGGGAACTTCTTGCTGCCACCCCGTTCTGCTCTCAGTCGGCCTCTTACATTTCAAACATCCCTTAACATTTCCAAATCTACCTTTCATTGTAACCAGAGCCAGCAGTAGAAGTGCAGGTCTTGGCAACCATTGTCACTGAAAAGTTAAAAACAGATGAAGAGAAGTGACTGTTCTTCATGCGGTAGCTTGGAATCGCAGTTCTGGGAACCCATCCATGGGCGGGCTCAGCCTATCCCCAAATCCCACCTTGGAGACACCAGCCTTGTGGCCAAGAGCAATTTCCAGGATGAGGTTCTTCTTTCTTCTTTATTTATCTGTTTATTTATTTTAATCTGACTGGCTAGATTTCCTTTTCTTCCCCATTTACTTTGAGTAGTTGGCTAATTCTCTGCACTGGGAGCCACTGTGGCAAACAGTCCTCAAAATAGGTATGGGACCAATTTCAGGATTCTCATCATGTAAGTTTGCCTTTAAAAATATCTTACACGGTCTTAAACTGCTGTGCTGCGCTGTGGCATTGCTGTTCAGCCAGCGGTAGCCTCTGTGCCCGTTCATCAGTGGGGCCAAAGTGATTGTCATTTCACCTGTCAAATATTTTTCACTCTGTTTGGGAATTTTAATGTGTACTGAGCAGTTCTGGGCACATTTTCAGCGTTTTACTATCGCGTGAGCACAAATTGATAGTGAAAGAGCACAACTTATGGATATGTTGATTTTCTAGCAATATGGAAGGATTGTAACTCTCACCAGAACCAGTTTTCAGAAATTCTTATAAAAGTTTTCAGATACCCTGACGTAGCTAAAATGCCACTTACTGTTGCTTAGTACTTGAGGCACTCCAGGGATCTCCACTCAAGGTCATTATCCTCGTTGCCTGCCCTCAAATAAACACCTATCACTGATTAAGGCACCTGAAGTCTTTGTGGTCCCCAGTCACACTCACCACATTTATGTTTTATGGTGGCAGCGTGGGCCAAAGTTAAGGTTGTTTTGGTGCTGTAGCCATGCGTTTCTACAGCTTGGAGCGTTTGGATTTCTTCTAAACTTTGTCCAAATCCTGAATTTCCTGGAGAATGTACATTGTTGGAATAGCCATAGCAGTCTTTTAATACGTGTCTAACTTTAGATTAGCGATAAGCATATTCAACCTTAAATTCCCGTTCAGTACTTTAATAACTTGCTTTTTAAAATTGATTTTGCACACGGAGACGGGGCCGCGGGTGCCAGCCTCTGGTCCGGGGCTGGGTGTGACGGCTCCCGAGCCGCTGGCACTCGAAGGGTCGTGTCCCCTTTGGCTCCGGGGCCAGTCCTGCACGGGCAGCGGTGGCCGGGGGGGGGTCCCAGGCTCTGCCCCGCCGGTGGGGTCAGCCGCTGTCCTCAGCGGAGACTCCCGGCTCTCCCAGAGAAGCCCCCGCTTCCCGCTGCCCAGCAAGAGCATTGAGTGCTGCTGAAGCGGGAGATGGCTAGGAGGGAGGCCACTTTTCATCAACTTTTTTGTAAGGGGTTAAAAGCACCATTTTTTACTTTTATTTTTTTAGTAAGTCGATGCTAAAATGTAAACTATGCACAAGATCTCAAAATCTACACGGAAGTTTTAAGAGTCGATGTGGCTTCACTGCTAAGGGAGTTAAAGAATTGAAAATCCTATGACTGGATACTTAGATACTAAAAACTCAATTTTCATGATGACGTAAGAGGATCTACCTAAACTCTTAGAAATTCAGTCTCTTCTTGGAGGGTAATTCCCAGGAGCCAGGGAGGGAGAAAGCTGGTTTTGACAAACAGACTTAAGGAAAACTTCTGCTGAGAACCCAACTCGGCCGTAACCCCAGAGCCGCGGCTGTCCCCTCCCGAGCGCTGCGGTGCGTTCTGCAGCCTGGCAGGCTGAGGGGTGACGCGGGGCTGTCACCGGCCGCAGCCGCCGCGGGGGGGGCGGGGACCGACCCAGGCGCGGGGGGACACCGCAGGGTTGTGAATGTATCTGATGTACCCGCATTGGACTTTTATGTTGCCCTACATCGAATTGCTGCTTTTATATGTTGGATGCCATTTGGGTCTCTGGGAGTTGCTCTATCTGAGCTTAATGAGCACTGTAGCTTTTAATCTATTTGTAGAAGTGCTGCTAATGTTCTTAGATTATTTGAATTCCACACGGTGGTATAATATCTGTTTTATATTATTTTATCCATGCTTTTGGTTTTTTTTATGTAAACTGTTCCTTATTGTTGTTCAGAAAGGACAAATTAAAGCTCTATTCTCTATGGTTAATGTATTTTCAAATCAATAAAATCCTGGTTGTTCTTTATGGCTGCGCAGTCCCTGCTGAGATGGCAAACGTGGCGTACCCCACGAAGGCAGCGCTGCCGACTCCAGAAATGCTGCTGCTAAGAGCACAGGGGGGTAACTGCAGCACCCAAAAATGCTTTCATCTCTGAGGGGGCAGGGGCAGGCTCAGGTGTTTTTCCTCCTGTTGAGGACGGACTGGTACTTCCCTCCTTCAGCATACCCGTTCCTTGTTGCTAGAAAAACTACTGATTTTTAATGAGCGCTGAAAGCCACAGCAAAATACCAAGTGCTGTGACAACTTTGGTCTGGAAAAAGCTCTTCTCATTGCTGAAAGGATGTTGGTAACACTCGTGCCATTAACGACACCGTCATTCCAACAGAGTTAATCTGCACCAAGCTATTTCTGTGCTCTCTAAGCTGCTGACAAGGAATTTTTCAGTCCGAATCAGCACGCGGCCTGAGAAATCTTCTAGAGGGAATCTTTCGCTTCCCTCCTCCCCCTCCCAGCGCTTCTGCCGGGGGGAATGCACTTTTATTTTCTGAGGGTTACAGATCACTCTGTGCGGGTTAGTTTGGGCCGGGTAGCAGCTTCCCCCGTTTCCTCTCAGTGCTGGCGAGATGCTCCTCAGCATCCCCTCAGCCTGGCCGCCGGCGGGGCGGGTGCTCGGGGGCAGAGCCCCTGCTCCATCAGCCCCCGGGGGGATGGCGGGAGGCTCCTGGCTCTGCTTCCAGCCCCCCCTGGTTCCTGCCGGCGTGACCTGCTGCACTGTGGGCATCCCAGCACCCGGGGCTGCAGCCTGCTCCGCTTGCTCCCCGGCCCAGTGCCACGGCTGAGGGGATGGGGAAGCGCGGGGACAGGCCAGCACACGATCTGCCACAGCCCAGTGCTGCTCCGGGGCTGGGGAGACACAGCCCGGCACCGGGAACCTGCAGCCTTCT